TGTACAAGCCACTGCCTGGAAAACCCTATGAGCCCTTCTCTTGGTCACGCTGGCTCTCTGTATATACGATGGACTGAAAGGCATCCAACAACAACAACAACATAGCGCAGACCCGTCTGCTCTTCTGTCCTGCCACTGCCACCTCCTTGGTCCAGGCCACCCATCATCTCTCCCCTCCACAGCTCAGTGGCCTCTGTTCTACCCCACCCGCCTCGTTCTCTACATCACTTTAGTACAGACAAGGTCAGGGAAGGCTTGTGAAGGCTGGGATGCAGGACGGGGGCCACTCCTGTGCAAGACGAGTGGCCGGACCCCGCACACTCCTGTGAGTGACTGTGGTCAGGCCTCCCACCCGTGTGAGTCCCGGGCGCGTGTGCGTCTCTTATCCCCACGTGGGCTGGACTTGTCCCTCCTCAGCCCTGGCACCTCACTTCTGTTCATCAGGAAACACCCCAGACTGTCAGCTACAGGGCCACCCGCTTGTGAGAACAGGCGGCCAGCCAGGAGCCACAGCTAAACAGTCACAGCTAGCAACAACAGCTCAGTCTCCACGCTGCCAGGCAGCCCGGGCTGTGGACGATGCTGGCCTTGCTGTGTGCCTGGGCGCAGGCTGAGCACGTGGAGAGTGCAGCCTGCCGGCCACTCCACAGGAGAAAGATGAATCCATGCAGTCAGGGAGACGCGAGGGGACAGTCTGACAAGTCCCAGGGAGGCGCCTGTGTTGGATCAGTTATGAAGCCACAGGCTTGGTTTTGGATTCGGTATGGATTCTCAGGTCACATGGAGTAGAAGCTAAAGAGCTCACAGAGCCCCAGAAGACCTCGCCTGAGCAGTCCCAGGTTACCTGCCCGGGCTACCTCTGCACTCACCTAAGTAGTGCATCTTGTTCAGCACCTGCTGTGACTTGTACACTTCGCAGCAGCCATGCTGACCTCCTCGCTTTTCCGTGGACATCTGTCTCTTTCCTGCCTCAGGGCCTTTGCACTTGCTGTTCCCGCTGCCAGAAACTCACTTCTCCCCATACTCAATGATTTACTCCCTCCTCTGATATAAATTTCAGCCAATAATATCTTTCTCAGTCGTACACCCACTCACCCCTCAGCACTCTGTCTTCTCTGCCTTTTAAAAAACCATTTTGCTGTGATTTGAATGACAGTGTACAAGCCTGTTGGTTTTCCATTCAACAATCTAAAGGCGTTTTCTTTCATGACGTTGATTACAATCCCATATTGTAACAGTGTTCTCACTCCCCCTATGTTCCCACTTCTTCCTCCTCCTCTCCCCTCCTCTCCTGCCCTGTCTGCTTTACCCCTTGGGCAAATGCTGCTTCTTGGTTGATTGTTCCAAGGAACCTCCTTCCTTTTGCATTCTTCATGTATTTGTCACCATCTGACATTTCATATGTGTCTGTGATGTTTCTATCGCACCTCTCCTGCAATGGAGTATAACTTTGAGAATGGGAACCCTCTTGTATTCTCTGCTGTTACCTGAAACCAAAGCAGACACTGCTGTGGAGACAGTCACAACCCTCGAGGACAGAAAAGTGCCCCTGTATGGAAGCAGAAGTACCCTGTATGTTCCCTATATGGAAACAAATGGCCTCCTTTTCTAAGACAGACCTTTGGGTGCGCATTGGTGCCTTTGAACACTGGGGCTGGAGGGAAGTACGGAGCATCCCGCCGACTACTCCCAAACAAACAGTTCTCTCCGGGAGGAGGTGCAGTCAGGGTGCTCCTTAGAGGAAAGGACGGTGAGACTTCATCTTACGAACTTGGAGCATATTGTTAGGAGAGGTCAGTTCTCAGGAAAGAATGTCATCCTGGGAAAGGGGGAAGGTCAGAGGAAGACCTCAGGAAGAAGGACTGACACAGCCTATAACCGCGGGCTTGAGCAGAGCGGGCATTGTGAAGAGGACACAGGATTGGGCAAGGTCCGCTCTGTTGTTCATCCATCACTGTGTAGTCAGCGCAGCAGCGCCAACCTGACAGCACTGCCAGGCTGGTTCTCCCAAGGCTAGCTCTGCTCGAGGCCGACTCCACGGGGTCTCTGGCCTCTCAAACCTGCGGCAGCTCTGGGGGCGAGTCATGGACAGTCCCTTCCCACCTGGGAGACCCAGTGGAGGCTCAGCTGGGAGGCAGTCCAGCTCACTGACAGCGAACTGAGCAGAGGACGGTGAAGGAGCCTGTTGTCTAGTAGGTGAAGAGGTGGATTGCCTGCCAAAAAGTTAAAGCACAGTTAAACCCGTCACCGCCCGATGGGAGATAGAGCAGACCCTCTGCTCCCACGGAGATTCACAGCAGGTGCCATTTGTATTATTTTAAAAAATTTGTTTAGTTGAGAACGTTGTTTGTAGTTTTGTGCCATCGAGTTGCCTGCGACTCATAGTGACCCTGTGTACCACGGCCCTAAACACTGCTTGATCCTGTGCCAATCTCTGTCTCCAACACACTCACCCCAATTACCACAGTCAATGAATCAGTTCACCTCATCAAGGGTCTTCTTCTCCTGTGCTGTCCCTCCACCTTCCCAAGCATGACGTCCCTCTCCAAGGACTGGTCCCTCATTGCAACATGTCTAAAGTATGTCAGACAAAGCTTCAGGATCCCTGCCTCCAAGGAGCAGCCTGGTCTCACCCTCTCTAGGACAAACCTGTTCATTTTCTTAGCAGTCCATGGTATATTCAGTACTCTTCTCCAACATCACAGGTCAAAGGCATAAATTATCCTTCTATCCTCCCTATTCATTGTCCCGCTCTCTGACGCATAGCAAGTGATTGCAAAGACCATGGCCTGCATCATTCACACCTTAGTCTCCAGAGAGACACCATTGAACAGCAAAAACCCACCAACTCAGTAGTCACTGCTTGTTACAGGTGATTGATATTTATTACATTCTTAAAGTTGTTCGAATATTCTTACTTTCTTTTTTTGAGTGGTTTCTCCCCCACTACCATACCCACTCTGCCCTCACAGGCTTCAGTCGGGTCTTCCCAGTTCTTGTCACTTTAATCCTGTATACATGGTTCTAAGAAACTCTGTCTCAAGCAGACATTCTTTAGTATTTAAGCCACACTACTGTTTGGCTATCAGAAGACTTCAGAAGATATTTTTTTGTTTGAATTGTAAAAATTTTTTTAGGGCAATATATATATATACTTTTTTTAGGGCTTTAATTTTATCCAGCTCCTTTGATTTCAGAAAGTCCGGAGTCCAAAGATTTTGAAATTCTGAAGCAGCTATTTTGACATCAACTTAGCAAAGCAGTAAACTTGAAGATAGAAAAGATTTACTCCTGAGCAGCCCATGGGCGGCTGCCGTGAGCGGAATGGACTTGACAGTCCTCGGGTGATCGTAATGAAAGAGACAGAGAGTTGCAAGTGTTGACAGGAATGTGGACGCACTGTGGCTTCACACACTGTGGCCAGGAATGTGGACGAGCAAAGCCACGTGGAGCCAAGTGTGGTGTGTTGCTCACAGGGTGACCTCAGAACGGTCACATGACCCAACAGTTCTAGTCTTAGAGACCTGGCCAAGGAAGTGGAAGCATGTTCACATAAACATGGGATTCATACAGCATTTCTCCTTCCCGCCAGCAGTCCAACACCACCTACTGCACCACTGGCCACCTCCTTAGAAACACCCCCAAAACAACTATGAGATATCATCTCACCCCAGTCAGAATAGCAAAATTTAACAGAACAGCAAGCAACAAATGCTGGCGAGGTTGTGGAGAAACTGGAACCCTGATTCACTGTTGGTGGAAGTGTTTACAACAGTGCAACCACTGTGGAAAGCGGTGTGGTGCTTTCTCAAAAAGTTGCAAATAGAGTTACTATTTGACCCAGCAATTCCACTACTGGGAATACACCTCAGAGACTATAACTGACACCCAGGCAGATGTATGCACACCCATGTTTGTCGCGGCTCTGTTCACAATAGCAAGGAGTTGGAAACAACCTAAGTGCCCATCAACAAATGAATGGATAGAGAAGCTGTGGTATATTTACACAATGGAATACTATGCTGCATTGAAAAACAAGGAACTCATGCAGTATTATTCAGAATGGGTGACCCTGGAGGACATTATGCTGAGTGAAGTATCTCAGTCACAAAAGAACAAATACTGCATGGTGCCACTGTTGTAAAACAGGACTGACCTTGAGGTTGGGGGGTGACTAAGAAAGATGGGTTCAATAATATATCCTGTATCGAAACAGATGAGGGAGAAAACTGTTCAAAGGGACACGTGATTAGGTATTTTTATCATGACAGGAGTCTAGAGCGAAGGCTACATGGTGGAGTGGACCTGGAGGAGGGTTTGTAAAACAATGAAAGAATTTGTCTTTTACTTTTCCAAGAGTGTAGTGTGCTAGGGGGGAGGGCTGAGAGGGGAAAAAAGTGCAACATTGAATGAATGGAAATCCAAAGTCTCTGTAAATTTTTACTGAAATTAATAATAAATTTAAATTTAAAAAAAACTGACCTTAAAGAAAAACAACAAAAAAAACCCAGTGCCCAGCTCTGTGCCGACAAGCCCAGTGGCTCTGAGTGTGCTTGAAGCCCTGAACTGTATACCTTAGATGGGCGGGGAATGCTGTAGTTATTGTATCTCAAGAAACCGTACCTCAGTAAGGCCGTAAGACAGAAGCACCAGAGACGAACCTCGCTGACACAGGGCACTTTGACTTCCTCTCAACAAGCCTCTCTGATTCTGTGCCCCCCAAGCCAGCATTCCCACCTGGCAGGCCGTCTCTGCCTGGTCCAGGGTGTTGCCTGAGCTTCTCACCCTCCCGGGCATGCCCTGCCTTGTCCCCTGCCTGGCCTGGGCCAGAGCCATTGCGTCATCCTCACCCTCCATCCCCATGGCCTTCTCTTTCCTCCTGACCAGCTGGCCAAAGCAAGCACATCCATGTGGGATTCCGGTTGCACTGCGAAGCCGCCCCCAGCGTTCTGGGCTGTCAGCAGCAGCAGAGATTTGAGGTGCCAGCGACACCCGCTTACCTGACGTAGGAGAAGACGAGCACGTGGAGGAGCCACTTTATGGTGCCGTAATTGGCGCTGTGGATCTGGATGACTCTGTTCGTCTCGTACTGGAAAACGCTGTCACATTTGCCGCAGGTCGGCATGGTGCGAGAGAGGCTGCGCCCACCTTTTCCTGCCCCAAGCCCCCAGGCCCGACAGGCGAAACATGTGGGCTCTCAGCAGGAACTAGGAGTTCCTCCAAAGACTACCAAGTGGGGGCGGTCCCTGGCAGCTGTCCCAGATGTGGCTGGGCGTAAACAAAAAGAACCGAATCCTTCCTTCGGGCTTGACTGCAGTGGCCGGGGCCCGGCCCACCTCCCCCAGACGCCTGCACAAAGAGGGTGTTCAAAGGAGAGGCATTTCTTAAATTCTCCCTAGCCCATTTTTTCCTTTCGATTTTGAGCAGAAGAAAGCGACAGCCTTGCCAAGCAAGGTCAGGAGACCCAGGGCTTCAGCTGTGCCCTTCCCATGGCCTCAGGCCCCACTCACTGATGGCTCAGCTTCTACAAAAGGCTGCCTATTCTGCCCCAGATGTGTGAGTGCTGGATGAATGGACGTCTCTTCTTCCACCCCGAACTTCCTCATGTCGCTCTGGCCTGCGAGGGAGGACGGGGCATCAGATCCTCCAGTGCTGGGAAGGGGGCGGGGTTCCTTCTCTACCAGATGGCTCAACATGTCCTTCAGAGACACTCCGCTGTGAGTCTAAGGCCACCTGCAGGAGGGCATCGTGTCCGTCGAGGGAGAACCCTTAGACCAAGCCAACCGTTGTCACGTCAGTTTTGACTTGTGGAGAGCCTGTATGACAGAGTAGAACTGCCCTCCAGGGTTTCCTCTGGTGACTTAGTGGTGAGAAATTGGCCTGCCAGCTCAAAGGCACACAGTTCAAGTCCACCAGCTACTCCACACGAGACAGACGGGTAGTATCTTGTGCGCTTCCCTGCCTGCGACCTTCCGCTGCTGTCCACACTTGACAACACATAGGGCTTCCACTAGCTGCCATGCCTCCCGACAGCAGTGTGTGAGTTCCAGTGGCCACCCTGTGGTCAGCAGCCAAGAGCTGTCCCCACTGCCCTGCCAGGCCGCCTCCTTCCAGAGTCCCTCTGCTTTCCCTGTGGGAACCTAGGTTGGTTTTCTGTCACTGACACCACCAGAGCCCCCACCCCGCTGACGCTGGGATTTGTCTTTGGGAATATTTGGAGTCTGGTCACTGTGGAGCATGGCCTTGGACCTCTGACCTTCACGAACAAATCCTTCCCCCTGGGTCCCTCCGCTAACGCGCAGGCAGAGCCCTGCAGGGTGGGCGGCTGGCCTCGAGCCCGGGCAACCTGTGGTAGGAGGGTAGGATCCTCTCTCCTGCACGTGTACAGGGAGGAGAAGGACGGGGCAGAGAGCTGGCCTGAGGCCCGAGGCCGTTCTCAGCACCCACGCAGGAGCTCGGACAAAGGCTGGCCCTGCAGTGCTGCTGAGCTGGACACTGCAGCCAGGCCTCTTGGAGACCCTGTGCACAGTTCTCCTCTGCCCTGTAGTGTGTGTGTGAGCTGGCACTGACTCCTTGGCACAGGTTCGATCTGTTGTTGCTCTGTTTTCCCACTCAGGTTGGATCAAGACCCACCCTGTTCCAGGCTGACCTCACATTAGTGATCACCTCTTCAAAGACCCTGTTTCCAAAGAAGGTCACGCCACAGATATCAGGCGTCAGGACTCCCACGTACACAGCCCTCTACACAGCCATGCTAGACATCGGGCCTGCTAAGACGTACTCTCCTGGCCATTTCATCAGCACCGTGCGGGACTCCTGCAGGCCCCCCCGTCTCTCCCTGTGTCTCGGGCTTCTCCCCTGACGCACCATCGCATTGAGTCAGTGGATGCACTTGGGCTGGCTGGGCTAGGTCACGGTCAGCCTCCTGGGGTATGGAGGGGGGAATCACAGAGGGAGTGAGGAGCTGAAGAGCGAAACCCAGAGAATCTGGCACGCGACCGTCGTGGGGAAGCTTAGAGGACAGTTACCACGGGAGATGGTGTCTGCATGAGTTTGGGGGTGATGCTGGCTGGTTATCTGTTCAGTAGGGACCCGGGTGGTGAGCCGAATGGGGATTTAGGAGCTTGGTAATGAAATTTCCCTTAGGTAAAGTTTTGTGTGTGTTTCGGTTTACAAGTTACAGAAAGTCAGGTGATCTAGGTGATTTACCTCCAACAGACAAAGGAGGGTTTAAAGGAAGTCGTACTAGTTCACAAAACCAAATATAGGAAATGGTTGCACAACTCAAAGAATTAAACCATCAGGTGGGTTATTCAGGACGACATGCTGTTGTTTTGAAATTGTGGTTTGGGTAAAACTTACATGGTCTGTTAATTTCCCTTTCAAATATTTATTTATACTTGCTGGTTTGTTGTGTTTTTTTTTTTAATTTTCTGACAGGAATTGCAGTCACTTCAGTGAAACGGCATAGTTTTCACTGCCCCCTGCCCTCCAGTCCCTGTTCGCCCTTCCCTGGCTCTGCTTCCTGTCAGAGTTCTGTTTTTGGGGAAATGCTGCCCTTTGAGTCTCGTATGATTGATTGGTCCAAGGAGGTATTCCTGGCAGGTATAATGGTTTATTTTCTTTGCCAGACTTATTGTTTGGCTGAAAGACAGTTCCCAGAATGGGTTCAGTTTCAGGGTTGAAGGGCGTCTAAGGGGAACCCTAATGGAGCAGTGAGTTAAGCGTTGGACTGCTATTGGAGAAATCGTTTCTTCAAGTCCCAAGCTGCTCTGAGGGAGGAAGATGAGGCAGTGTGTCCCTGTAAAGACCCGTAACCTCAGACAGCCCACAGGGCAGTTCTGCTCCGGCCTCCAGGGTTGCTGTGCTGGAACTGACCCAGCTGCTTGGTTTAGGGGACTTGGTCGCGAGATTCCACCAGCGTCTGCCAAGCCAGGAAGTCTAGACTTTTTCACGATTTTCAGGTTTGTTCTATATATTTTCTTCCCTCTACTCAGTGTTGTTGTTGTGTACCATGAGTCCGATCTGACCCACAGCTGACCGTCCAGCAGGTTCTCAGAGGCAGTAAATCACACGGGAGGAGAGTACCCATCCTTCTTCCACGGAGCAGCTGGTGGATTCGAACTGCATACCTTTGCGTTGGCCGCAGAGCTCCCTCCTGCTCAGCGCAGGCCCTTGTGTTGAGCTCAGAGCTGTCGGTCACTGCAGCTGGCTCTCATTGTACTGCTTCTGGCTTCCGGGGAGAGGAAGCTGGCTTCTGGCTAGTAGTCTTCAACTCATTCTCTTCTTGCATCTTTGATTTTCCTCCCTTGCTGTCCTTTCCTCTGGACGGAGAGAGACCGAGAGTTGCATTTTAGGTGAAAGCGTTTGGTTCACAGCACGTCACACCATCAAGGCTCCGTCGCCCAAAAGCAAGCCTTGTTCACTGGTAACCAAAGCGGGACGTAGGGCATGTCTTTGTGTTATGACAGTGGGCCTATACGTCCTTGTTTTAAGGAAGCCGTGTTATGTCACTGAGCCCAGTTACAAGAAGGGATTGCAGCCTGGACCCAGGAGACCCTCATCCTAGGCTCAGAAACCGAGATATCCAAGCCCCAGTTGTTCTTTCAGTCCATCTGTGAGCTCCCTTACCTGTCAGTCTGTCTGAGCCCCCTCACGGTCTCTCTCTAAACCCTGGCTCGCTCCACCTCCCTGAGGACCTGTGGCCAAACACGCTTACAAGTTCCCAGTTCAAGTCAGACCCTGAGAGCCCAGTTCTGGAATCCAGGGCAGCGAGTGTGATCCATCTCGTTATCTCTTCCCGGTTCAGTCCATCTTGGAGGAGCAAACACAGATCTCTGCAGAGCCCGGGAGAGAAGAGGGACCGTCAACTCTGCTCATCACCACTGAGTTGGAACAGATACATTGCTGACCCTCCTGCATGTTTTCGGAGGCTGTAAATCACATAGGCAGTTCTGGTGGTCTAGTGGTAAGGAACTGCGCTGCCATCCAAAACGTACATGGTTCAAATCCACAGCTGCTCCATGGAAGACAGATGGACTGTCTCCTGTTAGCTTAAACTGCCTCTGGAGATCTCTGGAGGGTCAGCGATGGGTCAGTTCCGACTTGATGGCACACAACAACAACATAACTCATGTGGGAGTCGGTTGCCCATCTTTCTCCTGCCAGAAGCTGGTGGACTTGAACTGCCTGCCTTTGCATTAGCAGTGCAACTGCTTACCCACTAGGCCTCCAGAGGGAGGCTCACAGGGTGGAAGAAGGAGAGGAAGGAAAGAGAAAAGTGTGGGTTCTGAGAGGAGCGGCTCAGAGGTGGGGCTCTGGGAAGGCAGCCTTCAGCCAGTGACCTTAGTGGGACCACTCCGAGGCAGGTCCCCAAGGGCACCGAGCTCCAGGCGCTCATCCTGCTTTGTGACTGCGTCCTGATTGGCTGCACTCCCGCCCCTCTACTGCCTCCTTTCCCTCCCTGTCTAGTCTCTTTGCCTCAGAGATGGCTCTGGGGGGACCCGGTATAATTCAGACTCGCTGCTGTTTGGTTGTTGGTGTGCAGCCTGTGAACAGCAGATCTGCACTTGTGCCACCCTGTGCCTTCCTCACGCTCTCTGACACGCCTGAGCCCATTGTGAAGGAGCAGAGGATTTCTCCTAAGGGCAAGAAAATGAGTCTCTCAACAAGGACGTGCAAAGAAGAAACTTTTACATTAGGGGGCAAAAATCTCTGTGGAAAACAAATGCAGGGGGAAGGGAGGGTTCTTCCTAGTGATGGAGGACAGGGAGACCCGAGACAGCACTGAGACGACTGAGCAGAGGCGCCGGCTGGAGGGAACTCTGAGTGCGGAGAAGAAGCCTTCACAGAGAAGCCAGGGCCAGAAACCAGAACCCAAACTCCCGGCCAGCCACTTCCTTCTGACTCCTGGTGACCGCCAGGCGTTTCTGAGGCTGGAGATCTTCACAGGAGGAGACTGGCCATCCTTCCCCAAGGAGACAATAGCTGGTAGATTTGAGCCACTGACCTCCTGGGTAGCAGACCAGCACACAACACACTACTGCCAGAATCAGCAGCGGTCAGGAAATCAAATGATAGATGGCATTAGGCAGAGGTGCTACAAAAAATCTCAGGAAGATGTTA